CACACCGGACCAAAAACAAAAAAAAAAAAAAAAAAAAAAAAAAAAAAAAGGGACGCTGTTCCCAAGCTATTGAAAAGTAGAGGTGTGCCTTGTAGTCACAGTGTCTCTTAAGGCAGTAGAATTTTCTGTGACTGGGGTTATAATAGTCCCTTGCACCTTAAGAACATGGCTTCCACAAAAATCTGCTTTCCTGGAAGGAGAATAGTTTCCTTTTCTAAGTTCCTGCAAACCCCTAAATGATGCCTTCTTGCAATTCTCTTTCTCCCCTTCTATTTTCAAAGCTATGTAGCTAATTATCCTCTGATGTCTTACATTTTCCAGCTATTTAACCTTTCTCTTGTTAGGAATGAAATTGGTTTTTGTTTGGTTGTTTTGTTAGAAGAGGTGTTAGAAAAGCCTGCTTCATATTTTTTGTATTATGGTGTTCAGTTTATGATAAGATCATAAGAATTCTGTCTTAAATTAGGGACCCTCTCAATCAGAGATCATTAATACTGACAAATTTGATTAATCATTTGGTTGGTTACTATAAATTAAAGAAAGAAAAACACTTCTCATAGAGGGGAAGCTGCAATATGGTCTCAGAGGAGTTTCTAAACCACTTTTGGTAACCATCATTTTCCAAGCACCAAGCAGTCGGGGGTGATAGCACATGCCTGTAATCCAAGCATTCAGAAGGCAGAGGCAGGAGAATCGCCACAAGTTCAAGGCCAGCCTGAGCTACATAGCAAGACCCTGTCTCAAAAAAAAACAAAAACAGGGCCGGGGATTTAGCTCAGTGGTTCGGTGGCCTGCCTTTAAGTGCAAGGACCCGAGTTCAATCCCCGGTACCAGGAAAACAAAAACAAACAAACCAAGCACTGAGCAAAGTAAAGGCCTCAAAATATGGGCAATCATGAGTGTGGTGAATTTTGAGCATCTTGTCTTCGATCTCTGTGCAGATGTTCCAAGTACTGATCATGGAAAACCAGTTTAAAATCTATTTATTTTGAACTTTTTCTTTTAAGTGATAATCATTAAGAGGAATAACATCATTTTACATGTCACCAAAACTGCATATTTAGCAGAACACAGAACCAAGTAAACATTTCTACGATGTGTGAGCATTCAATCTCTTCCTGATACCGCTTCTCAGTCCGGCCACTTGAGCAGGCAGCAGCTTGTCACTTACAACCGCTTTCAATTCCTGTTCCGGTTCATTAAACCTTAGGCTCCCCAGAAGCACACACCCACATGGAGATCCTCTGCCAGTCCATAAAGATCAATCCAAAGGAGGTAGACACTGATATGCACCTCTGAGGGGGCATGAAGGCCACACTAAATCGCCTCCTCCACAGGGGAGTTTATTTCGTAGGTTGACACGTGTGGGCAGAAGCAGCAGGGGTTTATGTTCAGACCTTACAGTCGGGAGCTTATTTCATATGGACTGGATTATCTGGCTGCCAAAGGATGGATAAATTTCAGAAACTACAGTCATGCTGGCAACTCTTTATCTTTGCCTTTTTCTCTGAAATATACTCTAAAGAAGTTACCAATATAGTCAGTTTACATTCACAGGCTTCATTCAAAACTTCAATTCTCTCAGTGGTTTTACCTTTCTTCCTCTTGATTGGCAACCAGAATTGTGGAACGAATTCTGCAACTAGAATTGCTAAGAGAAGTCGGGTGTGGTGGCGCACGCCTATAATCCCAGCACTCAGGAGGCTGAGGCACGAAGACTGTTGTGAGTTCGAGGCCAGCCTGGGGTACACAGTGAGTCCAAGGCCAACCTGAACTACATAGCAAAACCCTGTCTCAAGCAAAACAAAATAAAAAACCCAAACCAGAATTGTGAAAAGAATTAAATTCATAACCGAAGTACCATTGTACTTAAAATTCTAAGACTTCAGAATCATATTCATAAATACTTACTTCAGGCCAGGCATGGTGGCACACATCTGTAATCCCAGCACTCAGGAGGCTGAGGCAGGAGGATCATAGCAAGTTTGAGGCCAGCCTGGGTTACACAGTGAGTTCAAGGCCAGCCTGAACTACAAAGTGAGACTGTCTCCATAAACAAATAAACAACCCAAACAAACAAGAAACCCCCCAAAAAAACAATAAATATGCTTATCCCCCAAATCACATGGCTACCCGTGTCAGTTTTCAATCACTATGACCAAAACACTTGAGAGAAATGACTTATAAGGAGAAAAAATGCATTTTTAGCTCACGTTTTCAGAAGTGTCAGTCCAATACTGATCGGCTGCATTGCCTTGGGGCCCCTGGGAAGGCAGAACATTAGGGCAGGATGTGTGCGGTAGAACAAAGCAGCTCACCTCGTCCCTGCAGGGAAGCAGAAAGACAGAAAAGGGGTGAGGTCTCAGTACCTCCCTGCAGGGCACACCTCCAGGGACCCAACCTTTTCCCACTGGGTCCCACCATTCCCAATAGCATCACAGGCTGACAACCAGTTTTAACACACGGGACAGTTAAACTTTTGAGGGGACAGTTAAAACCCAAACCACAATACTATTACACGTCCCAGTGGCACCCAGAGCAAAATACCATTCTAATAAAAGGAGAGGGCTTGAAATAACGCAGCAGGCATGAAAGAGCCACATTCATTCAGCTCAACCTTAGCGAGCAAGGAGACAAAGAAGAAAGGGAGTCTCCGCTCAGATCTCTTCTTTACCGTGAGGGAGGCACTTGGGACGGTAACAACAACTTTTAGCTGGCAGAAGTGTATTGATGCCAGAAGTGGAGAGAAAGTCTCTTACACTTCTTCTTCTTTCCTGTTCTAAAGGGCTGAGCAAAAGGTCTACTTATAGTGGTATGAAGTAACCTAACCATTGCCAAAGAACAAAAAAGGAAATTGTATACTGTGAGACTGCATAACTTTGTAATCTTAAATCCTACTCTCAACTGTGATTAATGTAAATTAAGCAGTGAACATTTAGTAGTTCTGGGTAAACAGATAAAGACTGTTTCACTCCTTGTAGTTCTGGGTAAATAGATAAAGATTGTTTCACTCCTGGAAGGAATGTTTTGAAAACCTTGGGACATTCTGTAAGCATCTTGAGTATAGACCCCCTACCCTGCCTATCCCCTTATAAAAAGGACCTCAGCCCCTGAGCTGGCTCCTCTCGGAGCTACTTGGCCCCGGGAGTGCCATCTGGCCAGACTAATAAAGGTCTGTTCCCTTTCCAACGTGTCCGGTGTGTTCCTTCCAGGTGAATCTCGTGGCTGTCGAGCTCCTCGGAGCGGTAGTAAGGCCCTTGGTCTTGCATTTTGAAAGCCCTCGTTGGCTGTTGAGCTCCTTGGAGTGGTAGTGAGACCTTATGTCTTATAATACATATCCTCTCTTCCTAAAATGCCGCTTCCTTTGTGAAGCTACCTTGGTTCCTTTTTCAGAATGGATAGCTTCTTTTCACATACTCTACCCTATGCTTTCTATTTCCATTAATGTTTTCAAGCTATTACGTTAATAATGTGTTTACAGGTCTCCCTCTCCTGCTACACCACAAACTTCCACAGCTCAGGTATCACGTCATTATCTCTCTGATTCTCACACTACCAAGTAGAGTGCTTTATAAGTGGTAGGTCCAAGACAAATAATGAATGAGTGAATAAATAAATATGGTGTTGTCAACTTCTTGATGACTGGAAGTTATGAGGACTGTAGGAGTTTATGTAAAGGTGAAAGCAGATAGGATAAACATACCACCTTTTATATTTAGCTATTCTCTATAGGCCAATCTCTTTTTTCTGTATTTGGTATCATGACTATTTGCACCAAAGAGGAAGATACCTCTACAGATGAATAAATTTTCATAGAATAAATTTTATGTTCAATATGTCTATTTTAGTAACCTTAAAATATACCTTCTTTGGAGATTTCCAAGGTTAAACTGAATGTGATGGACAAACTTCCAATTAGTGTAAGCAGACAATAGATCTGCTGTCTGTGGTGTAGAATTGCTACCAGATGCCTCAGAAAAACTCTGAGATCCTAAATTCAGACTGCAACTCCACAAGATTCTACTAACCAGGTGCTGCCTATACAAAGCAATCAAGAAGAGCAAAGAAGGCCAGCAACAATGACTCATACCTGTAGTTTTAGCTTCAGGAAGCTGAGGCAGGAGGATCACAAGTTCAAATCCAGATTGGGCAACTGGATTCAGTGACTCAGCAAGACCCTGTCTCAACATAAAAAATTTAACAGGTTGGGTGGGTTTGGGGATGTAGCTCAGTACAAAGGCCCTGGGTTCTGTCCCCTCTACTGAGGGGGAAAGAAAAAAAGAAGGAACATGAAATTCCATTTATTTATTTATTGGTACTGGGGATCAAACTCAGGACCTTGTGCTTGTGAAGCAGGCACAGCCCCAGCCCAAATTCCTTTTAACTGAGAAGGAAAAATGGTCCTTGGCATTCAAAGGATAAACATCTAGGGCCAGGGATTTAGCTTGGTGGTTCTGCCACCTGCCTCATAAGCACAAGGACTGGAGTTTGATCGCCAGTATCAAAAAAAAAAAAAAAAAAAAAAAAAAAAAAAAAAAAGGATAAGTATCTAACTAGAGACTGATCGATGAGGAATTACAAATGTTTTAGGTACACAGAGTCAAATGACACAGATGTTTCTAAAAAGAAAGGTTAAATTTGGCCAGTGAAAGTCAACTCAAGAAAGATTTTCCTCTCCTTGGCTCTTCACCTGTCTCGTGTTATTTTACTTCTGGGTGTAGGGTTTGTAAAACTTGAACAATTACAGTATTTTGATCTTATATAAAACTGGAAATTTCTGGGCTAGGGATTTAGTTCAGCAGTTCGGTGGCCTGCCTTGCAAGTACAAGGACCCGAGTTCAATCCCCAGTACCAAACAAACAAACAAACAATAAAGTTGGAAATTTCTAAATAATGATCCATTTCTAGCACAATGCACATTTCCCTCTTCCCAAACAAGATACTTTGCTTTGACAAGAACAATGTATCTTATCACTGAAAAAAAGGAAGAGAAGGACAAAGACGAGGAAGGAAAGGAGAAAAAAAGGAAGAGGAGGAAGAAAGAGGAGGAGGAGAAAGCAAGCAGCTGCAGTAGCAGAAAAATTGTTTGAATTTCATACAGCACTTTTGAGTTCATTAGGCCAGTATCCCTAGGGTTGGATTTCATTGAAGAGTACAAGCTCAAAGCCTTTTAGTTGACAAGAAGCAAGTCTTTGGCTTGGGATTTCTATGTTTGAGTTGTAAATCAGGTTCACAGAAAAGTAATCAGGAGCTAGCCTGGCTGGAGACAAGAAAGAGCCTTAAAGTGGGAGTTATGAGACCGTAGATTGTATTTGTGACTTAGTCTCTTAACAAGTTTAGGGACCTGTAGCAAATTACTTATACGCTCATTTGTGAAGGAACAGTCTTTGAGGATCGCTAAAGTCCTCCTCCAGCTCTAACAATTTTAAATTGTCCAACATTTTTCCTGAGGTCACCGATTAGTTCATGTATCTATTTGAACACCTTCAATGAACATAATAAAAGAAGTAAAATTAACACATCTCTCCCTCAAGAAACTGGTAAGTCAGTGGGAAAGGTGAGGAGTTTGTCCATATGGTGGCACAGTGACAAGGAGGCATGTGCTCATTCATCCACTCGGGTTCTAAACAAGTCACAAGAAGCCCAGGAAAAATGAGCTGGGAAAATAGTACAAGAAACCCCAGAGAAGCAATTTGGAGAAAGAGAGGGTAATTTATTGTTTCAGTCCACAAATGTTTATTGAGTGCCCACCGTGTGCCAGGCACCATGTGATGAGTACTGGGGACCTTGCACTAGTAACTCAGCTAGGCTAGGCCTTTGACAAAGTTTATTCACATTCCAGATTGAGTGAATTCTGTGAGGGTAAGCGAATAACACAAAGTAAGAGAGAATAAGTGCTTGCGAGTGAGATGGACTGCCATTAAAGGGCAGAAGGGGACGATCTTTGGATCCAGGAACACTTGCCAGAGGTCAGACCAGTGGAAGGTGACAATTAAGGACATCCAGCAAAGGGGCTAGGGGCCGGGGATTTAGCTCAGTGGTTCTGCCTCAGGCCTCACAAACACAAAGACTTGAGTTTGATTCCCGGTACCAAAAAACAAACAAACAAACAAAAAAAACCAAAACAGCACAGAGGGGCTAAAGGTCCAGACAAGGGGTCAGGTTAATGCTGAGGCTAGGAGGTGGTGAAAAAGACCATCTGATGGTTGGAATTTAAAAAGCAACTATTTTTGGGAAGTACAGGATCAAAACAGCACTCAACTGGAAGTGATTTTGCCCCTCAGGGGATATTTGGCAAAGTATAGAGGCAGATTTTTGTTTGTGTGTTTGTTTGTTGGACAGTTGATAGTACTGGAGGATAAAACCCAGGGCCTTACATGTGCTAGGCAAGCTACATCCACTCCTCAGAGTTTTGATTGTTTCAACCGGGGAGAGGCGTTTACAGTTATTATTACCGAGACTGAGAAAACCTGTACTAAAGGAGTTTTTCAGCCCAAATCATGATTTTAGTCATTATATTCCAAACTTCTGTTCTCATTAATTTGTTTCGTTTTTGAGACAGGGTCTCACTATGTAGTTCAGACTGCCCTGGAACTATGCAGCCCAGGCTGGTCTCGAAAACTCACCATGATCCTCCTGCCTCAGCCTCCCTCGAGTGCTGGGATTACAGGCGTGCGTCACCATGCCCCAGCTGTTCTCAAGAATTTGAATTTTTTTTTTCCCCCTGCAGGAACTAAAGAACAGGTGTCGGTGGCCCATTCTTCCATCTACTGCCCGTAAATCCCATTGGAGAGGTTCAAGGGGGTTCGGGAACCTTTGCAAGTCTTCACAAGGCGCTAAATCTGTACGCGGACACAAGGGAAAGACTCTGAGGAGATCCAACCCCCGCAACTTCCTGGGTTGACCTCTAGGGAGAGACCGAGGCAGGTGCAGGAGAAAATAGTCGTGTTTTGGTGCATAATAACACAATGTCGGAAAGACTACAAAGTGGGCCCTGTAGGCGGGGAGAGGTGGGAGACGCCTGAGTCCTGGAAAGCTCTGGGCTCGCGGCCGCGATCGGGCCCTCCCGGGCGACCCCGGAACCCCCGCAACTTCCTGGGTTGACCTCTAGGGAGAGACCGAGGCAGGTGCAGGAGAAAATAGTCGTGTTTTGGTGCATAATAACACAATGTCGGAAAGACTACAAAGTGGGCCCTGTAGGCGGGGAGAGGTGGGAGACGCCTGAGTCCTGGAAAGCTCTGGGCTCGCGGCCGCGATCGGGCCCTCCCGGGCGACCCCGGGGCCCTGCAGC